TCTCTCTCTCTCTCTCTCTCTCTCTCTCTCTCTCTCTCTCTCTCTCTCTCTCTCTCTCTCTCAGTTAGTCTTCTCCAACAACTAGGGAAACGTATAATCGAAGAATGTGTACATGTGGTTTCTGCTTGTTTGTTTGATTTTCATTTTGTCTTGTTTGTGTTTCTGGTTTTTGTTTCAACCACTTGGAAGAAGTCTTGAGGGGTTAAAGGAAGTTGTTGCAGTTAATAGTTGGAGAAAAGCCCGTCCTTAGAATACGCATAGTCTTGAGAAAATTGGGTTCAACGATTCACTCTTATTGCTAAAATATTTTACATCTTATTCGTTATACGTCAAACTTTAAAAAAATACAGGTCCGATAGTTTTGAGCCTTTAACTCAGTGTCAGCTGTGTGTAATGTGTTTCTCATTTCTGGCAAAATGTGGAGTTCGAGCCCTGTCATTTTAAGGTCACGAAATGACGCCTAAATTTTTTAATGGCAATAGTAGTTGTTAAGTAAATATTGAGAAATCCTCAAAAACATACACGACTTTATTGTACTGAAGACATCCATTTGCTTCTGTATTTCTTTCTTGTTTTCAGTTTTTCTTCTTTTTTTTCCCTTCTTCAAATCTTTGTATTTCACTTACTTTACATTGAAGTCATCGTTTTACTATGCCATCTTTGTTGAGATTTCATTTTTGTACGCTTTGATATTTCAATGGCATTTAATTATACGTTTTAAACGGCATTCCTTTGTTTAAAATGTTGTGATGTAGAAGAGCAGCCTTTAGATCACTGATCTGAGAGCAATTATCGAATAATGAAATTACAGTTTTGACACCATACCTTTTTTGGTTCTTTTATTTATAATTTTCGTGGGGGAGGGGGGGGGGTTCGAAATCGTGACAAAACTTCATGTTGAACTCATTTTTCGCATTAAAATTAAATGTTGAACCAGCCGTTGTACCAGGTGTCTAAAAGAAACCATCCAAAGCCTTGATCGCTGTCAAATTAAACAAATTAGTTTCTTGCGTCTCGCCCTAGAAGAGTGTTCAAGCACTTCAGCGTATGCATGACAATTCTTTTCAATTTCTATCACAAATAATGGTACAGAAGAATAATTTAGGGCACTTTTTAAAAAAGACACAAAGTACAAGACGCAATGAGATTAACTGAAGTCACACACACACATAACACTTTAAGTTAAAGAGTAATTCCCTACAAATACTCTCATCTTCCATTTTTGTGAACGATTTGTTTTTACTTGAAAAGTGTTCTCGAGTTTCAGATATTCTGATTTTCAAATAAAAGGATCAGTGTTTTAATTGAAAGCACCTTTTTTGTTACACATGCCAACACGGTACGTAAGTTACCTGAGTAGTTAATGTTTATGTTCATTTATAATTAAATGAAAGCTGACTGTGGAGAGAATAATTCTAAGCTGCTGGGTCATGGTAGCAATAGAGGCTGGTTTTTCTCGTTTTTCGATCTATGTATTAAGTTCACCCTTCCCTTTGTTATGCTGAATAGTTTTTATGTACATGTATCATGCTATGTTCATTCCTTGTGTCTAAAGAAGTAGATCTACATTATTGTGTCTCCACTTGACAACACTTGCGTACATACATCTATGTACGCCCACGAAGAGAGAGAGAGAGAGAGAGAGAGAGAGAGAGAGACGTATTC